TCAAATTACAGAGCGAACATGTTCAAATTGAGAAAAAACGAATTAACTGAGTATAAAAGGAATTTAGATATATCGGGGCTACTATATCTTCTTATTTATTGAGAAAATGGCATAACTAAACAAATTAATGGTTGTTCCTGACAGTCCCAGTGGATGTAATTAGCAATGCCATGCCAAATAACATATTTATTAATTAAGGAACTTCTGACCGAGACGTCCCCATTGGATAACAAGCTGTCAGCATGGTGTCATTAGCATGGACTTTGATGGAGATGTTTTGATAAAGAATTCAGATCACTTGAATGAATTGGAGGGGTCCTTTCGAAATGATTTCTTCACTGCAGGGTGTAACATATGGATGAAATGTATTTGAAGACATATAGGAGATGAAACTGATACTGTATATGAATTAAATCCTACATTTGCATTTTGCTTCAACTCAAGTAAAACAGCATGGCTGTGTCAGTTCGTTGTAGGAGCTGACGGCTGCTGTGGAGTCGTGTGTGAACACTCAGCATTTGAGGGAATTGTCCTTGTGCAGTGCACCGAGTATCTACTCAAATACATGTAAGAAATCAAATGCAAAGCATGTAATAATTGTTGCCATATGCTTAGAAAATCCATTGAATGCCATCCTAATGTTCCCATGTTTGATTAGGATTGGCAGCCCATCAAAGCTGGTCAGAGCTGCAAGTGTGAGCAAGGTGCCTGCCCCCCGCAGACTGCGCTGGAAATGTTCTCCAGAGATTCACAAACTCCTCGCCTCTTCTGCTGACAAACTACAGAGGTGTGGGTTTACTCTAACTTCTGTCCAATCAATACATGAATCCTTTCATCTTTTAACAGGGTTTCCTCTTATTTGCTCAGGCAGGTGAAAAATCTCGACATGAATGTCTACACATTCTGTGATTATGGGAAAGAGTTTATCAAGAAGCAGAAAATGAGTCCTGACGCCTACATCCAGGTTGCTCTTCAGTTAGCGTTCTACAGGTAGGAGGAAGATGATTATAACAGGAGTGATTTTTGATTCTTCCTTTAACCCGGGGCTTGGAGCTAAAAGGCTTTCCCTTTGTGTGTTGCTCTACTGTAGGTGTCACAGCAGACCTGTGTCGACCTATGAGAGTGCTTCTATACGCCGGTTCAAGCAGGGCAGGGTGGACAACATTCGCTCCGCCACACCAGAAGCCCTGACCTTTGTCAAAGCAATGACTGATGGGAAACTGCGCACTAGTGTAAGATACAGTAATACAGTCCCATTCAAATTAATAATGCTTGAGTTTAGCAGTCTTAACTCAGTCTGAATAATATTTGCTTTTTAGAGCCTTCTTTTTTTCATTCTGTGTTATTGTTCTCTACCATAAAAACTATGCTAACTGTAAATAAAAGGATTTAATAGTCTAGCAGTTGATTCTCGATTGTTTGCATTTACAGGATACAGAAAAGATGGAGATGTTACGAGATGCTATAACCGCGCAGACAAAGTATACCATTCTGGTGACTATATTCTCTGACCTGATCCAAACCTATATCACAAGGTTGTCATAGAAAACACACTAACATATGGTTTCATTTTTCTTTTCAGTCTATTACAGGGATGGCAATAGACAATCACTTATTAGGACTGCGTGAACTTGCACATGAACTGAAGATGGAGAAGCCGGAGATTTTCCAAGATGAAGCCTTTCTCATCAGTAATCAGTTCATTCTCTCTACAAGTCAGGTATTGCCTCCTGATTTTAACACATTAAACTGAAGCTATATTTACGTGCATTACACAAATCTGAAGTTCAGTTTACACACAAGGAGTACTGCTCAGCTAGTGAATACAGTCTATAATGTCCAGCGTGGCTCTGCAAAAACCTTTCTAAAGTCTACAAATATAGCATTAATCAATTGTCGCAGCTTGTTCTGCATTGATGTAAGCATTTTATCAGAAAAGTTGAGCTACACACTCTAAAGTGAGAGTAAATAAGTCTGCATAGAGGAGCAGAGATGGTTCAATTAAAGTTGGGCTGCAACTAATTTAGTGGGAATGCTGATACAGCATCCCTCGCCATAAAACAAGATGTCCAGCTCCAATGGACACGGTCCGATTGTCCCCCAAACTTCGCTTGTATATCACCGGTCCATGCCTCAACAGCTCTATGCCAAATCTGAGATCTCACCATAGGCTGTTGCCATGGAAACGCATCCCTCGCCATAAAACACGATGTTGTCGTAACGCCTATGAAAAGGGTCAAAACAGCACCAGACTTCAGATAATGGTTAATGGTCCAGCCCTCAACAGCTCTACGTCAATTATGGGGTTTCATCATATGCTGTTTCCATGGAAACGCATCCCTCGCCATAAAACACGATGTTGTCGTAACGCCTATATGAAAAGGGTCAAAACAGCACCAGACTTCAGATAATGGTTAATGGTCCAGCCTTCAACATGTCTATGTGCCATTAGTGAGTTTTCCTCAAAAGCTGTTGCCATGGCAACGCATCCCTCGCCGTAAAACACGATATTGCTATAACTCCTATGAAAATGGTCAAAAAGTGCTCAAACTTCACATGTGTGCTAACAGTCCAGCCGTGAAGACATCTATTTGACAGTTTTAAGATTTCTTCAAATGCCGTTGCCTTGGCAACACAATGCTCACTATGAAACACGGTTTTCTCACAACTTCAGTTCAAATGCTCGAAATGGGTTTGGTAACGATGCAGCCATCAACACATCTAAGCGTATTATGGGGTGTCATGAAATGCCGTTGCCAATGGCGACAGATCATTCGCCATCAAGTTAGTTCAAAAGTTTGCAGTTCAAATATTCTGCTGCTTTTCCAAGCCTTTTTACTTTCTTTAATTCTCTTATCACACATTCAAGCCCCCAGTGTTCATGTATCATTTCAATCTAAATTATTCACTTTCTTCTTACACATTACATTTCAGCATAGCAGTTCAGCGTCAGCTTTTCAGCATAAAGCATTCCCACTAGCAATTTCTTCAGGAATTGCATTCTCTAGTTATTATTGCCATTTTCGATTGATCAGCCCAGAACCCTAAATATTTTATATTCTATAATGTAAGAAGAGGAAAAAACGTCCAACTATCAAAATGGATTACATGGAAGCATGACATTTTTAACCTTTTAGCTCAAAAGAGTTTAACTTACATTTTAAATCACAACTCTCAATCGTCTTATCTCAAGCTTTCCACCAACAGCAGTATTCACACTGGTGAAACTGTCTGTAGTTAAGTACTGAAGGATTCACTGTCCCCTCAGGTTCCTACTACCGTTGAGATGTTCTGCTGCTACGGACCCGTGGTTCCAAACGGATATGGAGCGTGCTACAACCCTCAGTCAGACCACATCATCTTCTCAGTGTCCAGTTTCCTCGACAGCCCACAGACATGCTCAGCAGAATTTGTCAAGTGCCTGGTCCAGGGACTCATGGACATAGGGGATCTGTGCAATAAATGTAACTCCAGCTCCAATACAACACAGAAGAAACAGGGACAGACGCTGGAGACACACACGCAAACAGAGACAAACTGGCAAAGCAAAACACCGCAGAGACCAGCTGATAAGACCGAGAGTCAGCAATCACTGCCACAGTTTGTGCTGAAAACACCAGACCAGACCAAAGTGGAGGCTCAAACCCAGACTTCATCACAGGCAGAGACACGCGCTCTGAAGAACGGAAGTAAATCATAGGAAACGGTCACCGCCAGTGAAAATAGAGGTAGTGTTCGGTACTACCACAATGTATTCCTCAAGTCATTCACAAAATACACTGTACCTGTGATACAAATTGTTACGTTAAGCTGTTTGTTGTACTGTACTGTAAACTGTATTAAGTGGCGATGATAATCTAATTCACTTATTCTTAGGGAATAGTAGAGATGTTTCTTATTAGATGTTTTCTGCTGTTGTCAAACACAAAAATAATATACAGCAGTCATTTAAATGTATGTCTATACCTTCTGTGTGAAGGGGGGGGGGGGGGGGGGGAATCAAGCAAATGTTGAGATTAATTGTGTTATTTACCAAAGAAAATTGTATTTTCTATTTATTTATTAGGTAATGAGCAAAAGTGTTTTATGGTCAATGGCTGATGTTCTCACTACGTCAACTTGCATGCTGCTATCAAATGATTTCCTGAAGATTAGGGTGCATTGTAAACTAGAATCTTCTATGCAAATTTCTGTTATGTTGTCTTCAAATATTGTGTCTATTGTACCAACAATACATGTGGTATTTTGTCCATAGGTTAAAAAAGAAGTATACATTTATAAAAATCATTTGACGTTTAGTTCATAACTAAATCTAACGGGATTATTATATGAAAGAATGTTAAATGTGACCAAAAGTGTGTTGTAAATGTAAGAGCATAATATATAAATGAAGTTATTTATTTTTGTATGAAAATATACTAATGTTACAAAGTCTAAATGTAAGTTTAAAAAGTAAGTATGTGAAACTTACTAACCAGAGGTGATCACTGTGTTTATTGTCAGAATATTGTATATATGACATATAGGCCTACCCTTAAAGATTAAAGAAAAAAAACGAAAGAAAAACTTGTTTGAGTTTGAAAGAATCTTCTCTGATGTTTAATCCATGTGAAATGTATAATAAAGTGAATTGAATTTAAGAAATAACAGTCATAATTAGAACCCCTTTCATTGAGTGAAATAAGCACCTTATGAAATGTGTTATCATTTAAAAAATACAATCAGATTCTTGTGGTTCTCAAACTGACACTGAATATTTTATAACTGTTTTGATTCTTAAATTTGAAAAGCTGATATTTTAGTTATAATGAGATTATTGATTATTGATATGAGATTGTTTTAGTCTTCTAAAGAAGTAAAGAAGAAGGCTTTCAGATTACATCGAATTAATTTGTGAATTCGTTTTAACCAAGTGGGGCATTTGGGATTCCTGGAGTTCGTAGAGGAAATCCACGTTAGCAACATGTGTGTGACAGTTACCCGGGTGACCACAACAAACAATGCCGAAAAACACGCGAGTGATACTGTGCCACGGACCTTATGAATCCAATGGAGTGGTTGCGCACAGGAACTTCCGCCTGCAGGGTCTCCTGGGTATGTGTCTTTTGTAGTCCATTTAGGAAACCCTCATGTGCTTTCTTGACTGATTCAGCTGAGGTCAAAGATGTCCGTCCAATATGTCCGCAGCCGCTCTGACAGCGCACGAGCACCAGTGCGTCTTGGAAGAAACGTGGGAGTGGAACATGGTGAAGCTCGTGGTCAACGGGCAGGTAGTCTTCAGCTGTAATACAAAGCAGCTCGAGTTTGGTGAGTTTAGCTTTGACGTGAAGCGGGGGGGGGGGGGGGGGGGGGGGGGGTGTTAAGCCTACGTCACTGTGAGGTCACTCTCTGGAAACCGGTTTATGCTTTTTCCCTGAAGGTGGAGATGGACAACTGGACCCTGTTTGTCGAAAAGCTGTTGCTGCGGTGGAGAACGCTTACTGAAGATAACACGAATACAAAATGATTATAAGCCTACACCCGTGTGAATGTTTACAATTACATACTGTTTTGTATTTTTTTTAATTACACATTTCAATTTGTATTGCTGCCTGAATTCAGATGTTTGCTGTTGGTCAATGCAATGGGATACATGGTCAGTGCATTATTGACAAGGTTACTGCCCTTTCACATTGCACATTCATTGTCAGTTGTTGTAAGGGAATTTGTATAATTAACATGTGTGACCTGCATTAGTAGCCAGTATTTTCTAACGTATTTTTAGGTTAGTCAAAGAAACACTGGTTGTATAATTCCAGCACAGGTTTCGCTTTTGATTTCTGGGGAAATAATGAATATGGTATATTAATGACAACCAGGAAGTTGATGTACATGATGCACAGAAGGAGACAGGTGTGGTATTGGTGGTCAGCAGGGCCCCCAATAACAAATTGGTTCCCTAGTTTAACAGGAACAACAGCTACTGTGGCCACAAGTGACAAATGTGCAATAAGAGTAATTGAAAAGAGTACCACATGGAAATAGTATTACCTTATCACAAATAGAGGATGGTTATAAAGCAAACAGACTCTTAATATCACGATAATATGTAGTAGCAAAGCCTTTGGGTTTATTAAAATGAGGAAAGGGTTACTTAATTCTTATGAATGTACATTTCATTTGTGAGAAAAAAAAGTGTGATATTTCTTGCTATAAACCATTTTGAACTGTCTAGCATCATCTGCAACCAAAACATGATCAAACAATGTTATTAAACTTAAATATATTTTTATTGCATATTTCATTATTCCCAGCATATGTGTTTTCATATCTCTAAATACCCACACTAATATTTTGACCCTGTACTTTTATTAAAAAACAAACACACATAAACCCTCTTTTAAAATAATTTGATATGTAGAATTATTTTTGTGCATGGCTCATTGTTACATCTCCCAGCTGGAAGTGGAAAAGGTAAGCTACAGTATGGCTAAACAGGAAAATGTCTAAGAACAGTGGTAACTAATACCAATTATGTTGAATACCCAGGGATGTTAATGTGACAACAAGCATCAATATTGCTTTCAAAGGATCCAAAGCTTTGCTGCTGTGGTGTGTGTGTGTGTGTGTGTGTGTGTGTGTGTGTGTGTGTGTGTGTGTGTGTGTGTGTGTGTGTGTGTGTGTGTGTGTGTGTGTGTGTGTGTGTTCCTTCCTCAGCCTCCAAAGACGCAGCTGAGCCTTATGTCCTAAGTAGAAAACATGGCTGCAAGTCTCTGTGACAGCTGGCTCATGTCTCCTGGTGAAGTGAAGTGTGACAATAAATACACACTCCTTCACTAACAGCTAAGGTAATCAAAGGAAATACAGGCACTAAAACTACTGACGTGTTCAATTTCAAAACACTTTTCATAAATGTGATATGTATTCAACATTCATTGTTTAAAAACACTAGCGAGTGCTTTGTATGCTTATCTTCTGCTAATTATCTACAAAAATAAATACAATTAAAAATCTATACTTTTATCCACAGTACTAAAGCTACTCCCATAACAGTGATTGTTACAAATCTAGATGTTGGTGTGTGAATGTTATTAGGGATAAAAGAGTGTACTGTTGCTTCTTTATCACATAACAAGGTGACGATTTTGTGACTGACATTTTATGTTTGTGTGTAATATTTTCTTTTCATTTGAAATAAAGCACTATTTAGAGGCTGCACATCTTTGTGTCTGTTTTTTTCTAATAGCACTCATAAAAATCATGTGTAGATTGAATAAAATGCAGATCCAGTGAAACAGAAATCAGACCACATGATTTTGGTCTGCATGGCCTGATCTAAGTCATAAGAGGTCGTATATGGATGTTTTCATTTTCCTAACTGATAGTATAAGGATAAAGGGTTGGGACGTTTTAAAAAAGGAATTACTTAATTTCCTTTGACATGGGGCCAGGCTATACAATTTGTTGTGCTATTCTGTGTCACAGTGAAATACAATCTGCATTTAGGATATTCACAAGGCCCTGGCATTGTTGTGCTTCACAAGTGATCTCACTTAAAAGTTGTTGTAGGTTGTTAAAATAATAGTTATGCAGTCTGATCCAGGCGTAAGTCAGTTAGGTTCTTTCACATAAGAGTATCAGAAGTTAAAATCCTGTTTACCATATACACTAAGCTATGCTGCAGATTGTTACAAAACTAAAATCGTTTTGAAATGTGCCAATTGGCCACAACAAGACTTAATAAATAGACTACAGTATGCTGATTGATGACGAAACAGCAGCTCGAGCCTGGTTCTTGTTCGTCAGTTTTTAATTACAAGTCCTTCCCGGTGAAGGCGTTCAGGTTGAAAGCTGTGTCCATGAACCTCTTCAGCTCATTAAAGTGGGTGAACTTGTTTCCTGTCGCAGGAGCAGCTGCAGGGTCCCGTCCCACATACCTGAAACAAACACTTAAGGTTTGTCACCTGGTCCTTGAAACAAATCTTCCAATTGTATTCAAACAAATCAGGTCCAAAGTGAAACAAACTCTTACCAAACGGGCCTCCTGTTGGCCGTCACTGTGAGGAGACGTGGCCGGGCGTAATCATAGTAACCCATGTTCTTGTGCTCCTCCTGACACCAGACCAGCTCAGCGTTTCCATATTTCTCTGCCTCAGTTCTGACCAGGTCAAACGGGAATGGAGAGATCTGAGGGGATGGTCAAAGAATGAATTGCAACAATGCATCACTCGCATTTCAAAATGCAGTTCATTGCTGCTACAGACAGGAAAGAAATTAAACCTGTTCAAGTCTGATGATGGCGATCTCTTTCTCCAGTTTTTGCTGTTTCCTCTCTCTAGCCAGTTCATAGTAGACTTTGCCAGCACAGAAGATCACCCTCTTCACCTGGGCTGGGTTTTGACTTGCAGGGCCCACATCTGGGATCAACCTCTTGAATTTAGTACCTGCAGAAATCAAATATGACAGGTTACCTATGAAGTCCATCAACATCGTATGTTGCGTTTTATAGAAATAAATTAAACCCCACCTTCAGCGAGGTCTTCAAAACTTGACCTTGCGTCAGGGTGCCTCAGCAGGGACTTAGGAGTGAAAATGATCAGCTTTGGATAAAAAAGAAAAAAAGTTTCTGTCAATTACAAAAACAACAGATTGATTCTATCATCCGTAGCTCTATTGTGCGCGTTGAAAAAACACTAATGTGTTGCCACTGCAAAGCATGCAACATCAGCATTGGGAAAACAAAACATTTCTTTAACAATCAAATAAATAAAACCCTTTGTGCTCAGCCGACCAAGTCTAGAGTTTTTCATAAAAAAACAAACAACATTATCCCCTAAAGGCCCTCACTAATTTGCTCAGGAAGTCATTTTCTCATGCTTCGCAAAGCATTGCATTTATGTGCGACAGGGGATCAGTTAAGACATTCACTGTGGCTGAAAACTGTGAGAGACAAAAAAAAAAGCTGAAATGCTTTAAACACAAAACTTTATACTGAAACTAGTTCTACTTTAGAGGTCTTGAATTACTTATACATTTCAAACAGAGCTTTATTGGTGCTGTAAATGAGTAGGCAAATGTTTTCAAAGGTTGTCATCTTTCCGCAAACAGACTATTTTTTAATCATAATTGTGAGACAGCATTGTATCACAACATAGTTAATTTGACAGCTTTTTATCTCATGATGAAGCATTGAACAAACCTGAAGACATAATCCCAGTTTAAGCCTTTAGTGTTATTTGATGTTGTTCCAATTATAAATATGACACACTGTTATCCACAGAGATCAATACAAATCAAGCTAAATATTTAAATGCCACTAAGGAAATTAGAGTTTTCTAAATAAAGGAAATGTCTTCTAATGACAGTAATGCGTCGTCAATGGACCATCTGGACTTTTCACAGTGTGAGTGACTTAAATGCAATCAATGCAAAATTCCAAATGTAAATTCAATTATTTCATGACAGAACAAACTGGAGCTGGGTAAGACACACACTAAATATAGACAAAGACGATGTTACACTTTACCGGTTTTCTGAATGGCAGCAGAATCTGACGTCTGAGCACGTGACAGTAGTTTGCAGGCGTGGAGCAGTTGACCACGATCCAGTTACAGTCGTACAGCTGCTGGACCTCAAAATCTCCACTGAACTCCTGCGTTTGAAAGAAAAGAAAGAAAAAGAATAACCGAGGATTTATACACATTATTGATTCTGAAAATTGAAATTTTACTTCCACAGGAATTAAAATGTTTATAGTGTGGTTCGCTGTAATGTTTCTTCTCATAATTAGGCAAGAGATATATCACATCAGCGCACTGTATCTCTCTCACACACTCTCACCCACAATGTTAATCCCTTAGTATGCTCCCACTAACAGTTTGATCAATATCCCATTTGGAGATGAATCTGGTGAGCTTCTGCTGATACAGCCGACTGTGATCCCCTCCTGTAATGCTCCTTCATGCCAGGGCACCCTCGGGGCCTCAGTTACTGCTGAATAGCAACTATTTTGAGGCAATAATGAAGAGCCTTTTCAGCCCAAGAGAATTCATCACTTAAGCTATCCCTTAAGTGGTCATGAGATCAGGATAGCCACTGAAACAGGAAACTATTAGGCGGCTTAGAGTTTCAGCATTATGTAATAATGTTCTTGGTAACCAATTGCACCCTGATGTTGATTGTACATACAGGGAAGTGATCAGGATCATCGTTACTCATTTGTAGGAAGCGTTCAGGTCGAGCTGATGAATGTTCTGGGCCCTGAGGACAGAAGAGAAGAACAATTAAAGAGGAACCCTACCAATACTTATATTACGAAAATGTTGGTTTATTTTCCCTTCTCACCATTCCCTCCATCCCATGTGGCAGCAGTAGGACAATACCATTGTTGCGGACCCACTTGGCCTGGCCCGGGCTGATGAACTGGTCAATGATGCACTGGGCTGTGTTGTTGAAGTCTCCAAACTGGGCCTCCCAGAGGATCAGAGCATTCGGACTGGCCATGG